GGCACTGGGGACAAGACATTGGGTCTTAAGACAGTAGGGTCAAAATCAAGTTCCACCCTTAATGGAGCTGACTTCCCCTTCTGCTTTGACCTCTCTCCATAAAACGTGAAAACCAAAGACTGCTGAGGTGGTCGTCACCATGCACTGCGGTAAGATCATTCGAAAAATCGAGCCCAACATATAGGGATTCTAAAGTCCATGACTGATGGTGCAGGACCACTCTCCAAACATCCTTCGAACAAAGTACGCTGAAGGGGTGGGCACCTTCCAGCCATTTTCTGCATTTCTTGGGGACTGTAACCACCTCTGCGCTGAGTCAAACTCCATCAACTATCTCACAAATGAACAGGCAGGCGGCCAATGTAAGCAGTGTTGAAAAGAAGTCTTTTCCACTTAAGAATTGAACTAAATGAAGGAAAATCCTGCTTGTAATTGGTGGCTTCTTTCTAATTAACTGGGCCGATTTAGCCGAGGAACTTAAATTTTAAATTGTCGTTATCTCTTATGTAGAGAAACGTGCAGCAGGAATTCTCGGCTGGCCCTTTGGCCCTAAGAACCATCCCATCCACATTCCACTGTTCCCTCTTCCTCTCCAGAAAGATAACTGGGCTTGCTTCCCCGGAAGCTCTAAAGTGGTTGATTTGATTTTGCTTACAATTTCAACCTTTTCAAACCCTCTGCCTTTGATCAATTATAGACATAAAGGCTAAATGTGAATTTAAACTAGAAATGAAGGTTTTCCCCACTCTTCTCTGAACCTATTTGTACAAGGAAAGAAAAATGCAGTCCAATCCCACGGGCAGGGAGAAACTCAAGGAATCTCCCACTTGCAGAATTGCAAGGTCACAGAACGGCTCCAGTGGCTGATGGCCTGGGACCCAGTAAAGACTAATGGGAACTCGGGCTCCAAGTGTTTGTTTCTTCAAGAGTGACCTAAACACCCGATATTTATCATCCTTTCTGGTTGCAATGGGAAATGAGCCAGCCATTTCAGACAGGCCATGAGTCACAGGGCTCAAATAAGAAGAAATTCCTATTGTTACATCCTTTATAAACATTTAAAAGGCAATGGAACAGCTGCCGCTGTCAGCAACCCCCACAGAAGGCACACACATGCACACACTTCCCTGTGCACGGGGGGTCGCTGCCACTACACACGGCGCTACATCGGCACTTCCTCTCCTTCTGGCTGTGGGACGAGAGAGGAGCACAGAGAAGTAGGCAACTTCTGAGATGGTCCCGAAGATCCTCACCTCTTGGTATTCATTCCCTGTAGCCCCCTCCCCTTGCCTGTGTCCTGGACCACGTGACTTGCTTCTCGTCGAGAGCATGTGGCAAAGGTGATGGGCTGTCCCTCTTGTGCTCAGATGACAAATGATGGAGGCTCCCAGCTTCGCAGAAGCTCGCTGCCACTTGTAGCAGGCTCTGATGGAGCAAGCAGCTTCTGATGACGGGGTGGCCCTGTGGCAAGGCTCTGCGGGCAGCCTCTAGCCAATGGCCAGCAAAGAACCATGGCCCTTTTCCCACACTTCTTGGGGAACTGAATTCTGCCAACAACTGCATGAGCTTGAAAGCAGATCCTTCCCCTATCAAGCCTTCGGATGAGACCCTGCCCTGGTGACGCCTTGACGACGGCCTTGGGAGAGCAAAGCTGTGCCGGGTTCTGACCCATGGAAGACAGCATGAGATAGTTGAGTGTGATGTCTTAAGCTGCCAGGTTTCTGGGTGATTTGTGATGCATCAGTTGATGACGAATACAGGCAGCAGCCCCACGACGGGGCTAGCTTCCTGAGGAGGCTGTGTTGCCATGGCATCCTGCCCTTCTCCTCTGCACCATCACATGTGCATGAGGATCAGGGCCTCGCATTCCTGACAAAGTGCAGCTCCTGGAGGGCGGGCGTCTATGTGCCTGCTCAGCACCAGAACAGTGCCCAGCATGTGACCAGGAATCAATGAACATTTCAACTGATGAACTCTTTCTGTTAAGTGAGTGTCAGGAAGGCAAGAACTTTCAGTTCCCAGTATAAACAGAGCATTTGTTCTCTTAAAAAAAAAGAGACAAGACTCCATGGGATGGCCATCTTCTAAAAGGGGAACTACGGGCTGAGGTCTGAGAGGTGAGTCGGGCAGGCCTGGCTCCTGGTTCAGTGTCTGAACCCGGGCAGTGTGACGGCCCTTGCTGTTTAAAGCCTGTCTTCACGGTTCCCGTGTCCCTGGCGGAGAGGGACACACCCAGGGAAGCTGGCTCCGCTCTCTGAGAGAACACGCAGTCCTTCCCTTGTGCTCTCCATCCTCCCTGCCCAGAACGCACCTTCCCCTTGACCTTCTCCCTGTCTCTTTACTTGGCAAACTCTTACTCAGCCCTCCAAACCCCGCCTGGCCTCAGCTCTTCCAGGAAGGCCTTTCTCTGCACTCTCCACTAGCTGCTCCTTCCCTCTTCGGGGCCACACTTCCCCCTGCCTCCCCGCCCTGGCTGAACTGCAGATCATATCGCCCACCCCTGTCTGCAGCTGGCATGAGAGCCCCGTCCCCCGGGCTCCCATTTCTGTGCCCTGGGGGTGACAGAGGCTGGAGTTTCACCTTCTTGGCCCTCTGGAGTCGAGGCCCGTGACCTTCCTCAGAATGAGGAACGGGGAGACGTGACGGGAAGACGCTGGCCAAGCAGTGAGGCCCCCACCCCTTCCGAGAGAATGTTCCAGCCTCGTGAGCCACAGCAGGGGTGGCCTGGGGGAGGGCGACAGAGCAGCTGTGAAAACCCCTCTGTGGGCAGCGCAGGGTCACTTAGTCACCAGGCCTTTCAAGGCTGACAGCTATGTAATCACATACACACGAGAGCACCGCTGGTTTGGGTCAACTGTTTGTCTCAAGCTAGGGGGGAGGTACCAGCCCATTCTCTGGGCAGAAGGGTCGAATTCCTGTCTCCCGAGGTGTGGGAAGAGGCAGGCAGAACATGGCGAGCTGCCCCGAGGACAGGGTAGCCTCAGGATCGGCGTGGAGGGACTCCCAAGGCTGGAGGAGGTGCAGCGGGCAGAGTGGAACCATCTGCAGCATGAAGATGGCCCCAGAGGTGCCACACAGGGGGTCTGCAGGGATGGGGACGGGGCAGGGGCCATCCAGCTCTCTGCCCAGATCACTGAAGGGCACGGAGGCCACTCTGAGACACACGGGGGGCCCGCGGAGGCAAATCAAGAATTAGAAATGAAAGAAGCAAGATGAGACACTGTACAGACACACAGCTGTACACACACCACACCACACGCTCATAGACACACACACACACACACACAGCACTTCTCTGCATAGATAAGTATCAGCTTGGAAGAAAACAAGCCAAAATAAAAATAACGATTATCTGGGTGGGAGATTATAGGTGTTTTTTAAACGATCATCATTCGCAAGGCTATGGGGCCAGGAACGTCTGCTTTCCAAGGAAGGAACCAGGGGTGTGTTAGCGTCCTAGGACTGCTGTAATGATTTACCACCAACTTGTGGCTTATTCCAGCAGGAATTTATTCTCTCACAGTTCTGAAAGCCTGAAGTCTGAAATCCAGGTGCCGGCAGAGCCGGTGCGCTCCAGGGCTTCCGAGGAGAGTCTGTTCTGGGCCTCGGTCCCAGCCGTCCCTGGCGGTTCTTGGGGCTTTGGCAGCATCACACACCGACCACTGCCTCATTCTCACACAGCGTTCTCCCTGTGTCTGTGGGTCCCAGGGTCCAGAGTTCCTCTCCCCGTAAGGACACCGGCTCCTGGGTTAGGGCTCACCCTCATCCAGTGTGACCACATCTTAACCTGAGTCTACCAGCAAAGATCCTATTTCCCAACAGGGTCAAGTTCACACACATCTTTGGCGTGTGTGGGGGCGTGGGGTATAACATTACCTTTGTGCTGTGTGTGAAGTCACCTCACTCGTGCCCGACTCTTTGTGACCCCGTGGTATGCAGCCCTTCAGGCTCCCCTGTCCACGGGAGTCTCCAGGCAAGAACACTGGAGTGGGTTGCCACACCCTCCTCCAGGGGATCTTCCCGACCCAGGGATCAAACCCGTGTCTGCGGCAGGCAGGTTCTTTACCAGCAGTGCCACCTGGGAAGCCCCTATAATAACCCATGACAAGAGGCATTTAGTCCAAAGAAAAAAAGACACAGGGCCTCGACAATGTTTTCTAAATCTGGCAGACTCTCCCATTTAGAAGGATTAAATCTGATCTATGTAGTTCTATGGGGAAGAAATGGGTCCAAAGTGTGGACACTCCCAAAAGACAGACCTGGGGTCAACGCAGGAAGGATACTCTCACAGGGCTGGTTTAGAGGAACTGGGTTGCCCTGGATGGGAACTCCTGGAGCAGAATGGAGCCTCTTGCCTCTGGTGCAGAGGTACTGGCCGGGCCAGAGGGGACGTGATGGACTAAATGATTTTAAGTCCTGGCAGCCCTAAGCTTCTGCCACACACACAGCCGTTGTCAACGACCTCAGCATGGCCCAGTGCTGGCCCGGCCACCCTCACCCAGTCTGTTCAGGACCACGCTAGCCTGACCTCATCCACACCGAGCCGCTACCACACTTCTGTCGTTTTCTTCCTCTCAGGAAAGGTGCAGCTAGCACTTTCAGAGCCGACAGGAGAAAGGCATCAATCAAGGCAGAGGACAAAGAACTATAGGAGTTAAACCCTACAGAGAAACCCAACACCCCTGATTCCAAGGGCATTTCTCCCGCCTGGACCTCACCCAAGGGGCAGTCTCACGTCCCCAGGCCAGACCTGACAGAGGCTGAAGGCCCACAGGCTAGGGTCAAAATGATAAGGAAACAATCCACAGTTTGTTTAGACGCAGTGAAGATTGCCCCAAGAATAACGTTTACATAAGAAATAGCAATAACATCACATGTTAAGCCTGTTTATTTAAAGAAGAAGCAGCAGCAAAATCTTGTCTGTGATGAGAAAGAAGACTGGCCTTGAAAACTGCCTTTTCTTTTCCCGAAACAAAAAAATCCACGAATATGCCGCTCACCTCTCCACTGGGTCCCTGAGCATGACGATCAGCTTTGCATCTGGCTGGAAGGCGTGGATGAAGTCCTGGGTCAGGAAGGGGGGCTCGCCGTCTGTGCCGTTGTCGTAGAAGAGCGTCCAGGCGTTGTTATCCCACATGGTAGAGGCACTGGCCTCACCTGGAAACAGAAAACGCTGCGAGTGAGTGAAGCTGAATTACGGGCTCCTGCAGAACAGCCTGAACTAGGGGCCACATCTGACTGTGATGCCGTCTATAATAGCTATGCACGGGTGAGCTGGTCCAGGAAGCGGGCGGACTGGACTCTGGGAAGAGGAGGCTGATGACCGCCCTCTGCCACACCATCACCCCCTCCCCTCAAGGACCTCCATCTGGAGATGAAGGTGATCTGAGCCACACTGAGCATCCCTCTTCCTCCCAGCTCCTATCTCCAGGATGTGGCAGAAAAATCTCTATGAGCATCTGGCCTCCCAATTTCATGATGTTTAACTTTGCCTACGGTGCACAGCTCCATGGCATTTTAAGGGCCCACTGAGAATATACTAGATGGTTTCCTTCAAAAGGCATCAGGGGTGAAGGAGGAGTTTGGGCAAGCTGACTCTCATTAGGAAACGGCATGCAATCCGCATCAATCTTCTCTTGAAATCACAAGGGTCAGTCCCCGAGCACACTCAAAGAGGAAGGCTTTGCAGGAAGGCTCATGGGACCTTGGTCCTGCGTGCCCACCCACCCCGTGGCCTGGCACACAGCTGGCATTCACTCAGTGCTGGCTGGGTGAACAGGAAGCTGGTTCTAGCCCTTGCTTGATCATGGTCAGCATGACTGAAGCATGATGAGGTCAGTTAAGCACATTCTAGGCCAGGGGTGAGGCCAACACACAGACCTTTCAGCATTTCTATCTCATAGACTTGAACTGGTTCCTTCTTTTTTTTTTTTAAGAATAATCTTCAGAGATTCAGAAAGAAAAGCAAATCAATCAATTAATTATACATTCGATTTCCTGACATTGTACACGGGACTATACGACACATCTCAAAGTCACTTATTCAGAGAAAATCTGAGCCCGAAGACTAAGTCTCTGTGATCACTGATGAGCACCCACGGTTATGCAGAGAGTAAGCAGGATCCTATTTATTCTGTTGGATGTGCAATCATGTCCAGGTGAGCATTTCTATTCTGATCTTTCTTTCTTTCTATTTTTTTTTAAGAGGTAATACCCTGGAACACAGGAAAAAACAAGCCAATCTGAAGTCCTTTGAAAATTCTACTCACAATGAATAAGAGAATATTAGGACAAGGGAAGTACATAGAACTAAATTGGCACAAATTTTGTCAAGCTCATAAATGAACTGGTTCTGTGCTTGTCCATCTATCTAACTGTCTGTCCATCTACCCATCCATCCTTCATTCATCATTCACTCATCCTTCAAGCATCCATGCAGAAAGCTCTGATTTGGTGTCTAAAATGTGCCCAGCACTGCGCTTGGCACTGTAGATAGATGACAGAAACAAGACAGAAAATCCCCTTTAATCTCAAACCTTACAACCTAGGGGAAGATCAGTAATTCAATAAACAATCAGAGCTTCACTTGAGCACTTTGACAGGGCAGAGCAGGGGGCCTTGAGAGCCCTGAGAGAGGGCAGCAACCTTTCCACATGTATTGATCCCAAGCCCAGAGAACCCAGCCGCTGGAGTCCTTCCCGACTCCAACCATTAGCCCAGACCACTTAGAAAGGGCCCTCTATGATCCATTGGCCAAGATGAAGAAAGACCAGTATGCTTCTTGCAGGGATCTAACCAGAAGAAGCCAAAGCAGAGTTTCAGGGTGGGGAGGAACCCAGAACTGAGCTGGTCCAACAAACCCATTTTACAGATGAATAGACTGAGTCCAGGAACATAAAGACCAACTTGCTGCATGGCACGGAGCTCACTGGTGGCACAGCCCGGGCTAGATGCCAGCTTCTCATCTACCATAAAACTCAACAAAACTCTGCTTCAGGTAAATATCAGAGTGTGGGTATATTCTTTAGTTTTCATTTCTAAATCTAGAAGTGAATAAAATGAGAAAACCAAACTAAAGCGTTCCTTTTTTAATTCGTTAGCTTAGGCTCTATCTCCTGACCCTGGGATGTATAGTTTTTTAGCTATTTCACAAGAATGTGAGATTTTCCCAGAGACATATGGTATGGGTGGTGGTGGCTTAGTCACTAAGTCATGTCCAACTCTTGCAACCCCATGGACTGTAGCCTGCCAAGTTCCTCTGTCCATAGGATTTTCCAGGCAAGAATACTGGAGTGGTTGCCATTTCCTTCTCCAGGGGATCTTCCTGACACAGGGATCAAACCAGGGTCTCCCACACTGCAGGCAGATTCTTACCAACTGAGCTACCCAGGAAGCCCACAGCCCTATGGTATGGGAGCCACAGTCAAATATTAATTAAGATTTGTAATTTGGGTGTTAACTCACGGCTGCAAGAAAACAGCTAGTACCCAGTTCAGACTGAGTAAGAGGGTATGCTCTCATCTGGCTTCTAGCACTCGATTTCTTTGAGTTAAAAATAAATAAATCAGAGCTTCAGCATGTAAGCCTGTCCCCCTTGGACATGGGACACATAAGTAAACAGCTGTCTTTCAGATGGTTGATTACAATTCTTCTTAGTCACTGATAGTGTAACCGAATTTAGAGAATCAAAATATAATAGATTTAGGAGAATGAAAAAATAGATCGCTGCCTCAGGTAACCAATTTAAGAAAAAATATGTGATTTGATTTCTCTCAGAGGTGTAAGTGGATAAATGTCTTTTAAGTTGAATCCAATAGAGAGAGTAAACAGATATGTTTTTTACAAAACATTCTTGTGAACAACAAAAAAAAATGATTGCTAATCAAACCACCTCATTTTGAATGTTTAAAGGCATTAGGTTGACAAGACCTAAGCTTTTCCAACAGCAATCAGTCACCCACGATGCAAGAGATGCATCTGTTTCAGGAGAGGCCACCTCCATCTTCACAGGGTCCCAGCGGCCAGGGAGTACAAACACCATAAGAATTAAACTGATGACTAATTGGTTCATTTTGCATTCGTGATCCTCCATCCAAACTTACTCAGATGGGTGTATCATGAAAAGAAATCCAGCATGCAAGCTTAACTTTAATAAAAGCAAGAAACAGCAACATTTTAAAAAAGCCATTTCAGGTGCACTTGAGTCTCCATGCAACTAGAGAGTCTACTAAACATTTATGCGTTATGGAAAATTTCACAAACAATATGAACATTTTATACAGGGGAGAGGGGTGGGGGGAGTCACTGGTGAAATATGCACTCAGCAGCTGAGGGCAAATGTCATGCAAATGCTTGCAGGTGCAGTGAAGCCCGGCCTGGCCCAGGGCAGGAGCTCCACGGAAGCCATACCGATAATGATTCTGTTCATCTTGCTCGGCTCCTTCGCGCTGGCCTGCAGTCCTTGATGAATCTGGTGTGCAGCCAGGTCAAAGAGGTCCAGGTAGTCTTCCACGGGATAGCGGTCCCGCAGTCCGTCCCTCAGGCGGACGATTCCTACGAGAACCAGGAAGCAGGGGTTACTGAGGACAAAGCTGCCATGCTGGGCTGGTGGACTCAAGGGAATGACCACAAACAGATGGAAAGGTCTGAGGGCTCAGCTGCAGCAGCCAAGGCTTGACCCCATGAGCTGCAAGAGAGGGAGGGATGTCTGCAAACCAGCCTCCCTCTTTTAAGCCACGTGAACTTTGAGGTCTGGAACACACCGTCACTCAGATGCACAGTAGCCCCTGAAAGGATGGCACGCCTGTTCCGGAACTATAATCGGGTCTCCTTGGAGGACCAAAGAGGTCAGGGCTGGTTAACATGGGCACCAAGGGAGGTCCCCCAGGGGTGGGGCAGCAATGGCATCAGAATACACATGATGAATCACAAGAAAACACCTGCCATCAGAGGGGCCATATTCTCTGAAGCTCAGATGCATCTTTTTTTTGTCAGGGCTCCCCAGCACCTTCCTGAGGTTCTTTTCCATCAGGAGGCAGTCTGTTCATTTGTCCAAACAATAAGGAGAACTGATGGTCCCCAGGCTGACACCTGAGTTATTCTGGCATCAGCCACATGCAGCCTAAATTGTCCCTTGCCTGAGAGGTGGGTAAATTTCACTTGAAAATGTATTGACAACACATTGCCCCAAACCACAGCCATCAAGTCTAAATGGAAAGTGGAGAGAGAGTATCCACAGGCAAAACAGCAAGAGGTTCAAGGTGGTACCAGACACCAGACTCCAGAGGCTGCATGCCCCCATGACTCTCCCCTTGACCAGCGGGAACCTGGTTTTCAGGGGGGAAGATGATGAGTTGTGTAGGGGAGGGCCCCCTACAGATGAGCACAGAAACTCTGGCTTCCACAGTGGCTGCTGGCAAACCACAAAAGACACATTTACACTTCTATTCACTCTGGGAGGAACATCAAAAGGATTAAGTCAAACATTTGTCAGGAAACACACTAAGAGTTGATCTCAACTTAGGCTGTACTAAAAAAAACTTTCAAAATTCCTTTCCAAGCAACCTAGGTCCTTTCCACGGAAACCGCCTTCCAGGCTCACCCAGACTTTGGCATTTGTCATCCCTTAGCTCCAGTGACCAAACGTCTCCTGGAAGAAGGGAAAAGGCTGAGGAGAGGAAACAGTGACCCTGGGGGCTGAGGGGGTGGCTCAAGCTGGCTTCGGGCTGGGTGAAGCAGAAACCAGCCAGCAGGAGTCATGGGGTGGTGTCCACCGTCAACCTCCTGGGAAAGGGGTGCTGTGAGCAGGGTGGCCCAGAATTACCTTTGTGGGGCTTTCATTTTTACCCTCTAAGGCCCAAGGGGCAGGCAGGTCAGAGAAGAGGCTGGAAGCAGCTCAGTGACAGGCTCAGGTCCTGGGATGCTCCAGCAGGAAGCTGAAACCTGGCCAGACACAGCCACCTTTCTTTCTCCTGCCTCCTCCCGGTGCAGGGGTGTGGGTGTGGGGGCTCCAGCAGGAACAGCACTGAGCTGCGAACTGAGAGCCTACAGCCCCCAACAATCGTCCACCTGGATGGTGCGTGTCCCAAGGCCCTTAAGGCAAGCCCTGGATGGTGCGTGTCCCAAGGCCCTTCAAGGCAAGCCCTGGATGGTGCATGTCCCAAGGCCCTTCAAGGCAACAAGAGTGCCCATCCGGCACCCTTTCGCTGGCCCTGCACACAGCCGGCACTGCATAAATGCTCACCAGGTGACTGGGAGCTGGGTACTCAGTCCTGCTGGGTGTCTGCCCGGGGATCTCTAAACCACAGAACTCTCTGATCTCCGCCTCTCAGCGTGTTTTCTCATTTCCCCACCTGCCTCCCTCCTGGAACTTCCCAGAATGCCCCGCTCGGGTCATTCTCAGGGCTCCCACTCCAATCCTGACCCCTGACCCCGGAAGGAGTGACAAGGTGAAGGTGGCTGAAGCACCCTTGCCACGGGGACATGGCGGCACGCACCAAAGCGCTTCCGGGTCCACCAATGCGGTTCCTTGATGGCAGAGAACTTGACTTCCGGGTGCAGCCGCAGGCGGTCGTAGAGGTCGGTAGTGCCGCACTTGGGCTGCCCGATGATGTAGAAGTGCGGCAGGCAGCGGAGGCGGAAGTGCTTGCCGTGCGCGTGGGACAGGTGGCCCCAGAAGGCCTTGCGCAGCGTGTCGAAGGTGGAGCGGAAGCGCTTGGAGTAGAGTACGTAGGAGTTGGTCAGGTAGGGGTCGGTGGTGTTCCTGCCCGTGAACTCCTCGTACCAACAGGGGCTCTTACTGTTGGGAAGAAATTTGTGCGGGATGACGGAAAACATCTGCAACAGAAAGAGACAAAAACGGAGAGACACACTGAGGGCGGGGGGAAACACACTCTGTCCTCAGTATGATCCTACACTGAGGCTTATGACACGTTCGCGTGGGAAGTGTTATTGGATGATGGCTAAATGCTAAAAGTAACCTTAGTAAACAATGACCATGCTTTTCCTAAAATCCCAATAAAAATGAAATATGAAGAGAATGAAAATACAAGTTCCATCAAAATCCATTCTACCGTGATTTATCTTACACACACACACGACTATATAGTTGTATATTTAAGTGGCCGTTAGAGACAAACACTGTGATTTAGGACAGACTAGAGAGTGATCTACAGAAGTAATTTTAACTGCCAGGACCACCTTTCAAGCAAAACATCCCAGAAAGGAATTATTAGAAGGGGGGCTTCCTTCAACCTTTTTAGCTGTGCCATTCAATACAGAGTTCCCTTGTTGGCATGGACACAGCCCTCCCAGTGAATTCTCATCCGTAAGGCTGTCAAATTACCACTATTACACTTGGGAAATTTTTGGTCACTTTCTTGCCAAAGGTGATGATAAGAAAGGAAGCAGCCATTCTTTAAAATCAGTCAATGGAGATGAGCATCAGGCTACTCACGTGCAATTCCTGCTTCTTGAGATCTTCTACATCTGGGAGCTGTCTGGTGGTGAACTCAATCCTGGATGTGATGCTGTTGATAATTAACTTAATGCTTGGATAGTCCTTCATGTATGAAATATTATTTACAGAGGATTGGTGATGATGCTCTTTTGCGTCACTCGGATTCTCGCCCTCCATCAAGCTGGGATTGCTGGGGAAGGCTCCGTAATGGAAAGGCGATGAGATCAGAAGCTCTTGGTGGACCCCAGAAAGGATGTAAGAAGCCATCACCAACGTCATTATTATCAATCCAAAAATGAGACTGCATCGTTTCCCCTTCTTGAAGCGCAAAAACCCACCCCAACTCTCGTTCCCATCAGCCCTCACTTCGAGAACAGCCAGCAAGTTCATCTGCTTACCGTCCACTCGAAACACAATTTTGTTTTCTGCCTTGCACACTGGGCACTCCTGACGACCGTGATGGGAGCCTCCTCGGCAGCTGACCTGCTGTGTCTGTACGTCGTCAGGTGACAATTGGATGCAGCAATTAATGCAGTGCCTCATGGTAATGTCCCTGGACTGCTGGCCCATTGAGCCATGGGCGAGCCCCTGAGGAGTCCGGATGCCTTCTAGTTGTGCTGTAAAACTTGAAGGATGGCTCAGTGATCACATAAGATGATCGGAAGGCACAAGCAACAGAAACAAGAATAAAAATGAGTAGGTGCCAAAACACCAGAGAATGAGGGATCACGTTCTTTGGTTTGCCTCCAAAAGATAACACGAATGATATCCAATTGTCATGTTCTGTAATCCTGGAAAAAGTCACAAGGTCAGGAACAATTCTTCCTGACCCTCAGGTTTTTCCCATGGCACCAAATGAAGTGGAAGTGTTCTTGCTGGAGAACATGGAAACACCCAAGGGATTAGAGGATCTCATGGCCTCAATGAGAGATGGACAGGTACACCATCCACGCAGAGTCCATGGAGATTTCTTCTTTCACATCCTATGTTCCTTTGAAATGTTTCCTCTTCATGCGGAACAAAATCCTTAAGATGTCAGATCACCTAAACAACAAAGAAAAGGGATTTTGTTACATTAGATGATGACAGAAATCACCCTGGCAACATCTTCCAAGGAGAGAAGTTCACACTTCCTTTCCACTTCTAAATTTCAGCCACGCTGGCTGGGTTACAAGCAAGTTACAGAAAATCATATAGGATGAAGGGAGAGGTGTCAGGTCCTTGGTGTTTGGCTTTGGAGTTCAATCTCTGCCACCAAATGTGACCCCAATACCAGCTCCACCAGCACCTTATTAAACACCTCTTATTTCACACAATCCACATATTCTATAATGTCTGTGCCTGGACACAGCTAAGTGACTAGAACCCCTGCTCCCAGCTTGGAATCATTCTTCGATTCATGCACAGTCAGTCACTATGAATTTGAAGGATGAATTGAAATAACAACTCTTTTAAATCAACAAAAAAATCCAAGGAGAGTAGTCAAGATGGGAGGAGGCAGAGAAAATATTTTTTCCCCTCCCAACAGCACTAATAGTCTTTTAACCTAGAGCTAACATTTATTATCAGTGTAGGATGCAAAAGTTAATGAAAATTTAGAAACACTGAAATGATTCTCTCCTTCAGTAGAATGTATCGTATTAAAAAAATTTTTTGACTTTAAGTTATTAAGCAATTAAATGCAACATGCAGTACTCCCCTGAGTAACAGAACACTTCAGACCATGAAACAATTTTTCACTTTCATCATCCTTGGGAAAACATGATTCTTAAAAATCCATTAATAGAAGTCTGCAGTTAAAAAATGTATTGTTGCCCAAGTGACACTTCCTTGTAGACGTTGTAAAAACAGCAAAAAAGGAGACCTATATGGTTTCTAGCAGTGGTAGAACATTGCTAATGAGCCAGCCGTGTGACCTCGAGTCAGCTGCATAACCTTTCTGAGCTCTGATTCCCTCACCAGTAAAATTAGGATGAAAGTATCTCCCTTTCAAGTGTGTAACAAGTACTAAATCAGCTAATGCATGTGAAGAGTTTGCAGAATGCCTACACATGTTTAGGATCCCATAAAAGAGAGATAACATGAATAATGATAGCATCATCAATGACTTTTACTATTATGTTTTTTCATTGTCAGTGAATGCCAAGAACGTCTGAAGCGGAATCGAAGATGGGCAATCCCATCACAGTATCTTTCTTTAGCACCTAAGAATCAGCTAAAGGTGGCAGACTCACTTCTGTCTCGGCGCACACACACACCCCTCCAACGACCCTTACTGTCCCCAAGGAAGGTGGTGTTAACTAACTCTGCATAAAGCCCCCCTCATTTTGGCGGAGAGGCCGAGCAATCCACTCACCAGCAGCAACATCCCCTTCCCTTGGACAGAAAGGCCCATATTTTATCAAAACATGATGATCATGAAATAGCCATGCGGTATTCCTAAAATGTCTTCCACAAAATGTTCTGCATGGTCGATAGGTCTTCAGGGCTTAAACTACCTAGAGGAAAGGTAGGATGGCCCAAATGACACAGACTTCTTTAGAGCAGACTTCACCTTTTCACTGTGAATCCATAAGAGAGGACTATAATAGACAACATTTCCAAAACATAATTGACCATGGAATTCTATCTGTCTCAAGGAAGCAGTTTGAGGAATGCTAGTGAGTAAAGGCTGAGTTAGGGGTCAGAGCAGTTCTGAGAAGCACAGAGGAGAGGAGGCCATGGGAGCAAACAGCCCGGAACCAAGCCAACGTCTCAGGCTCCATCACCCCCTCATCCCTGAGAGTTTTTGGAGGGACTCGGCGGAAACCTCAAGGCTCAGTCCTCTGCCTCCAACTTGCTCAACCAGCCCTGAGCCATCACTTGGCACAAACAATTCTCCCAAACCAAAGAAACAAAAGGGCAAGCTCTCCTACTCAGAAACCCCATCACTAAGCCAAGAAAACATTTTTCACATGGCCAAGACAAGGCCAAGTGGGGTTAAAATGAGATTCCAGCCAGCATCGCAGGGGGGAGCCAGTTTGCACCCTTCTGTCTGCCTGGCTGCAGGAGGCCTAATTAGATCTTTTCCAAAACATGGTCTTTGAAGCTCCAAGACAAAAATGTACAAAATCTGGACCCACCAAAATGGGCAAAACATTCCTCAACAAGAACAAAGGTTTTCTAAGACAAGCACAGTAAATAAATAGACCTGAGTAGTCAGAGAAGCTGACAGTCTCAACAGAGAGGCCTGGGACACAGCAGGCCAGAGGATTTGCTCCCTGGGCAGGCTACAGCCTCCAGCCAGACCTCCCACTCCACGTCTCACTTCGTAAAATGGGAGCAGAAAACTGGGGAGACAATTCCAGAGGCCTGCAGAGCCTAAACACTCAGATCCAATGTTACCTCCTATAATTCACTCCTTCATCCCTTCCCTCTTTAATTCTCCAGATCCCCCCCCCCCGAAGGAGGACTCGGCACTGGACACTGCCCGAGATGCACGTCCAGGTTTGAAAGTGTCAGTCACCCAGTTGTGTCGGCTCCTCACGACCCCATGGACTAGCCCGCCAGGCTCCTCTGTCCATGGGATTCTCCAGGCAAGGATACAGAGTGGGTTGCCATTTCTTTCTCCAGGGGATCTTCCAGATTCAGGGATCGAACCCAGATCTCCTGCATTACAGACAGATTCTTTACCATCTGAGCCATCGGGGAAGCTAGCACGAGCAGGTTTGGGGGCCTGAAACCAGGACGTGATGGGGGTGTGATGTCATACCAAAGAAATATCTGGTCTTTATCCTCAGTTCCTGCCTGACACAGAACTTCTAAAACCCTTGGAACATCCTGGGTGAGAGGGGTGACAGGGACAATACCTTCTGTCATTCTTAACAAGCCCCTTTCAACCACACCTGTTTATGCTAGTGAGGCGACTCTTGGCGGGGGAGAGGGGACCCAGACAGCTTCAGGATGGGACTGGTAGCAGGAAAATCTTGGAAGCTTGGAACTCTCAGCCCTGCCTCTCCAACCTCCAGGGAAGGGGAAGGGGCTGGTGACTGAGTTAATCCCCAGTGGCCAATGATTTACTCACTCGTGCCTACATAATGTTATTGTTGTCCAGTCTCTAAGTCATGCCTGACTCTTTGTGACCCCATGAGCTGCAGGCCCTCCAAAAATTCCTCTAAGTGACAGGATTCCTAGAGCTTTCTGGTGGGAGAGCCCGTGGAGGTGCTGGGAGGGTGGTGTGTGCAGAGAGGACCTGGAAGGTTCATGACCCTCCCCCAGGCTCACTCTGTGAATCTCCTCCATTTGGCTGTTCTTGTACTGTCTCCTTTGTAATGAACCTGTAAGAGTAAGGAGGCTGCTTTTCTGAGTACCACGCATCTTTCAAGTTAAGGAACTTGAGGAAGGACTGTAGGAACCTCTGACCCTGAAGCCAATTAGAACAGAAGTGTGGGTAGCCTGGGGACCCAAGACTTGTGACCCAGGCCTGAAGCGGGGGCTGTCTCAGAGGTGGTGGTGGTTTAGTCACTAAGTTGCATCTGATTCTTGCGACTCCATGAACTGTATGCAGCTCCTCTGTCCATGGGATTTCCCAGGCAAGAATACTGGAGTGGCTTGCCATTTCCTTCCCCAGGGAATCGTCCCAATCCAGGCATCGAACCCAAGTCTCCCACAGTGCAAGCAGATTCTTTACCACTGAGCCACCAGGGAAGCTCCAGTCTCAGAGGACTGAGCTCTTAACCCTTGAAAGCCGTGCTAATTCCAGGGAGTTACAGAAGAATTCAGCTGGATTGCAGGACACCCAGCTGGTGTCTGGAGAGTTGGAGATTTTGCTGGTGTGGAAAATCCCCCCAGGGGGCTCTCTTTGAGAAAAAAAATGTATGTTACATTTACATGTTTTATTGAAACATCTGTCCAGCACATAGTATGTAAAACACTTGATTAAAAACAACGACCATATGACTAGTGAGTGCATTGCTATGAACAGGGCCTGGAGCTTTGAAGTTTCCAGACCACCCTCATCCAAGTGGATGGGACTGTACAGGAGTGACCAGAATAGGGAGACCTTTGCCCCACCTGGAACTTATATTCCACCCAGAGTTAGGGGAATCGCAGGACAACAGACAATTTAAAAAGTCACAAATGAATAACATCATCTCAGGTGCTGGAAGAAAACACAAAAAGAGAAAACCATGACACCCTTAGAACAGGGGCTCCCCATGCTGCACCAGGGCCGGACGATGCTTTGTTGTGGGGGCCTGTTCTGTGCACTGTGGGATGTTGAGCAGCATCCCTGGCCTTCATCCCTGGGAAGAACTGCCGCCTTAGAGGAAGGAGAGGTAGAGTAGAGAGGATGACCAGGGAAGACTTAATTCAGGAGGGTTCATCTGACTGATGAGACGGAAGCCAGTCACGTAGGGACCAGGGAAGTAAAGACCCCGCAAAAAGGGAAGCTGGAGAGCAAAGCCATCAGGAGAGCAGATCTCTGGGTTATGGGCCGGGAAGGGGGTGGAAACAGACGGGAGAAAAGGCAGGGACCAGACTCTGGGAGGCCTGGAAAGCTGAGATCTGTCCACACACAGACAGAGATGCACACTCTGGATTCTTTCAAAGGGATCTTTAAAATACATGTAGCTGAGAACTAGCACAACTCAGTGAAGAAAAGTCAAATTTATGCTAGACTGAAAGGAAAATGGATTGCTGTTTTTTTCCTGGGTTGAGATTTTCTATACACCAAGAACAGTCATTCTGAAACCTAATCCTCAGGTTATTCTTTCTTAAGAAATAAGCAATGGATAGCCCTTGCACTTCACCTGTCTGGAATGTCCCCGTTTTGGTGCCAGTGGACTCCGATCAGCCAGGACTTCTGGCTCTCCCGTTGGGTATTAAACCATAGTCCGTAGGCATGCATTTCAGTGAGATTGCCCTCCAGCCAAGGCTCAATGCTGTGCCCTGTGGATGCAGGCTGGAATCGTGGGAACCCAGTACCACTGTAAGAGATCAGATAACTGGTCCCAGAATAGAAAGTGTTCAATTACCCAGCCTTGGCTAAGATGGCCCCTATTAAC